TCAGAGGATACAACTGACGATTTACTATAAAACCAGAAAAACGGCCAGCCTACTCATGAGAAACTCTCCAGACACAAAACAGAACGCTTTAAAAGAGACTAACGTCGTCTATGCCTTCAAATGCCCACTTGGGGACTGTAAGCTCCAAAAAACCCAGTATATAGGCAAGACAACAACATCTCTTTCTAGGCGTTTAACGATGCATAAGCAACAGGGCTCCATTAAGGAACATATAATCTCTTCCCATAACCAAACCATCGCCAGAGAAATCCTAGTAAACAACACAGAAATCATCGATAGATACAGCGATAGCAGGCGGCTTGACGTTTGCGAGGCACTACACATCAAGAAGTCAACACCAGCAATCAACAGCCAATTATTGCACAACTATATTCTACCCACCTCAAGACTCCGCTCCAATATAGAAGCATCAAGAAATATGGACCAATAGGCTTTCTACAAACACTTCTATTCAATACCCATTGTTTCTGTTCTGTCTTGTGTTGATACTTTTAATACCCTATTAATATCCCCTCTTGTTCTGTCTTGTGTTAATGCCACATCACCCCTCCCACCTCACTCAAATGTAGATATAAAATCAGAGATACGTAAGTTCTAATCAGTTGTGTATTTGTGAAGTCTTTGAAAATGTAATAAGTTTTACGAAACGCGCCCGTGTCGCGTCAGACTAGAAATAAAAATGAATTTTGGAGAAGTGATTTTTGATTTACCTCCAACAGTGAAGCGTAATGTACGAAAGATTGAGAAAATTCGTGTTAGAATTATTAATCTTACTTTTTCGGTCATATTTAATAATATATATATAATATATATATATATATATATATATGTCTGTCTGGTTGTCTCTCTCGCTGTCCGAGATCAGAGAGGCAGATGCTAGGGGACACCCACACCCAACTTTCACACACCAAATGTGGGTGTCATGTGTGTGTCATAGACCAGTCGGGGTTGGCTCAAGTGCCAAACTTTCAAAAATATTTTCCTCTTAAGTATCCCCTTAAATTTTCATGAAGTGTGAAATGAAATCATAAGGTGTCTTCTGCAGAGCTTTGATGCTAACTCACGCCATTTACGTGGGTGAAATGTGTTGGCTGTAGAATGGAGAGAGAGTATGCATGAGTAAAGGGAAAGAGGGATGAAAAAGGAAGTAGGATGAGGGAGAGCAGGAGAGATGGGGAAAGAGGGCCTAGATGGGGAGAGAGGGAAAGAGGAAGGAGAGGGGGCAGAGGGAGATAGGGGGGAGTGAAAAATGGAGGGGAGGAAATGAGGAGAGAAAGGTGGAAATGGTGTGAGAATGTATAATTAAGGGGAGAGGAGAAAGAGAGGTGAGTTTGGGAGAGGGTAGAGAAGGGAAGAGAGCAGAGAAGAGGAGTGAGCTGAGGTAGAGGAGTTAGAGGGCAGATATTGGAGAGAGGGGGTTCAACGGTGGAAAGGGTGGAGAGTAGGAGAGAGGGTAGTAGAAGAGAGGGGTTGATAGGGGAAGAGAGAAGAGACGAGGAGGACAAGAGGGAAGTGGGTTGGGAGGAGAGAGACACGGGTGCTACCGGGTACCACTTTCAAGATTTACAAGATATTAAATAAACAATATTCTGAGTAAACATGATCAGAATGGAATTATCAGGGAAAAGAACTCAGCTATCACGACTATATCGCACTGGGAAGGGGTCAGGATAATGATTTGGGTTGGGACGGGAGGGGGGGGAAGGAATGGTGCCCAACCACTTGGACGGCCGATAATTGAGCGCCTACCTGCATGAAGCAAGACCGTCGCTCTACCGTCCAGTCTAAGAGGTTGTTCTCAGTAAAGAAGGAGAACCCAAAAACTCCTTCTAATCTCAATATTCTCATGCACTAAATTGATGTTACAATTTTCATGTTATTCGGAAATGTCATTAAAGATTCCCTTGAAAAATACAGCTAATGTGTTCTCATTTTTTCCAAAATAAATAATCAGTTGTTGATTATTTCCGTGTCGTTAGTCCAGATAACTATAGATGTTATGGTTCAGTGTAGTGACCATATGTTCCTTGGTTGGGCCTTGTTGTTTGTGTATTAAATATTCTTTGGTTGGGCTTTAACATTTAATGGTAAGTGGCTTGAAAACGTGGCAAGCCACTTAACAATACACTTGACTATGTACAGGTTTGTCTTGCCGATATACCGTGATGGTTGGGGGGGGGGGGAGGAAGTCCTCAAGTGTGCATTTGAATGCATAGACATTCGTCTCTTTTAAGACATTCCGATTGATATTGGTAGTTTCCTGACCAGCTTGGCAGTCTTCTTGCTCTTAGAATATATTATTTACTCTGTTTTCCTGATGATGTCCATACGGGTCACTTATCTAGCAATAATGTCTTTCAGGAAACTTCCTTTGTGATGTGAACCTTGGAAAAGACGTTTCTGAGGATCATTTTAACAGAAAGATCAAAACAAATTGTTGGCCGTTTCACCCGTGGTAGCATGTTGGCTCACCTTCCATTTAATGCTCTATTTGATATAGCTGACATTGTCATTCACAAATCTCTGCTTGTATCTATGAGGGTGCTCACTACTAGCATTAGGGCACATTCCTATGTTGGTCTCCTTAGTGTAAACTGTTGTTGAGACCCACAATTGTTTTTCGAGATCATTGTCAATAGTTGTCGACAATCTTCAATTGGTCATCAGCGAGGCACTGCTCGTCAAACATACCCGTTCAGCTATCAGCCGACTAACTCACGGTTACTCTCTAGCATCTTCACGAACATGACTGAGCACACATAAGTGCCCAACCATTTGGGCTGTTCGGTCAAGCGACGGTCTTGTTTCATGCACGTTCAATCCTCGACCTTCCAAATGGTTGGGTACCATTCCTTTCCCCCCGTCCCATTCCAAATCCTTATCCTGGCCCCTTCCAAGTGCAATACAGTCGTAATGGCTTGACGCTTTCTCCTTATAATTCCCTCCCTTCCCTAGCTATCGCAGAAATATCGTAGATTGATAAGCTACAACGGATCTATGTCTCCTACGTGACCCTTCCCTCATTGTTCTATATTCGGCTCCTCCAATCAAATTATATTAATTTGTAATCTGTTTATAAAAATGTTCGTAAGGCTCGTGAAACACATCTCTTAGCCTCAGGCCACAATACATTTATATAATCACTTTGGGAGATATTTCAACGTACTTCTCAAGTAAAGAAAAATACAACAAATATTGAGACTTGTGGTATAATCATTGATCTCACTATCACTTGCATATTCACTATCATGAAATACATATATATACATACGTACTTATGAACCAGTATTAGTTGTTCTACATACTACTAAGTTAAAAACAGTTCCATATATAAACTAACACATCTAAAAAATGTAAATTGTTTATTCAATATACGCAATAAAATTGTACATAATATCAATATTTAAGTACACTTTATGCACACTACCGTCTACACGTGACCTTCTAACACTAAAGTCTTCGCTCGCGGTTCGATACATTTGAACATTCTTAAAAGTTCCCCAATCTGGTTCTCAAAATTTAACCTGTGTTGAGCATGCAAAGATTTGTTGCATAAATATGGTGTAAGCATGGCGGAAGAATGCAGGGTCTGGACATTGTATAGGATATTTCCTAAATGGTGATAACATCAACATGCAGATATTTATATTTATATATTAAATCTATATAAAATATAAATGAAAATTTTCGTTAGTGCATGACAGCTAATCTCCGAAAGTTCTTCACCGATTGCTTTGAAATTTTGCCTCAACATTGTATTCCAATGGGCGCATCTTTTTATATACCGACTATATAGATGCCACTCCTGCGACAGATAAAATCATACGTTTTTTTTTAAAGCAGCGTCATCTGTTGCACATGATAGCAACATGCACCCTATACTAAATATGTCACGAATTCCATTTCAATGTTTCCGATTGCATTGATAAGTTTTATTTTCATAGATTTCGATAGATATTTTATTTTTTATTAAATTATTTTGAGTGACATTGTGTTGGAATTGAGCTGTGTTGTTTACTATACCGTTCATTTCATAAGTATAAGTATAGATGCCACACCTGTGACAGGTAAAACTATGTTTTTCTTGAAAAACAGCGCCTTCTCTTGCATGTACGAGCAACACACATGCTATACTAAATATGTTATAATTCCATTTCAATGTTTCTGATTGCATTGATAAATAGAATTTTCATAGATTTTGATTTATTTTCATTTTGATTTAATTATTTTGTGTGAATTGCATTGGAATTGAGCTGTGTTGTTTACCATTCCATTCATTTTGTGATGATAGTTTATTTTTTTATTTTTCATATTTTCATTTCTTTTTTTAACTATTTTTCTTATATTTCAGTGATGGGAACATCAGATCACTTGATGTTCCCAATTTTCTGATGGGAACTCAACCATTTGGGAAGGCACTGGACGAGGGAGTGGGGAATGGTGGGGATGACGAGGGGACGGAAGTGAGAGATGGTGGGGAGACGAGGGGAGAAGGGAGAGAGAAATGGTGGGGGAGGACGAGGGGACTGGGAAGTTCGGGATGGGGGGGACGAGGGGATGGGGGAATGGAAAATGGTGATGAGGACAAAAGGATAAGGGAGTGGGGCATGGTGGAAAGGTAGAGGGGATGGTGGAGTGGGGAATGTTGGGGAGGACGAGGGGACGGTGGCTTGGGGAATGGTTGGGAGGCCGATGAGACGGTTGAGGAAGGGGAATGTTAGGGAGAACTGGGGGACAGGGAAGGTTTGCAACCTGTCCAGCCGGGTACTACTAGTTATTAATATATAGATAATCGGATAAACATGGTAAACAAGACGAAAGGAAGAGAAAGTAGAGGTGATGCAAGATACGAACAAACAGAAAGATAAACAGGGAAAACGAGACTGATGACGTTTCTCATAATTTGCATATGATAAGGCAGTGGTAATGGGTTTTACTTGTCCACATCCGCCCCGGGCGAGACGAGCCTCGACCCCACCATGGCTACCACCCACGGCTATCATATATTAATCTGCCTGCCACCAGGGTGCAGCCTCCAGGGTGCAGCCTCCATGGTGCAGCCTCCAGGGGTGCAGCATCCAGGGGGTGCAGCCTCCAGGGTGCAGCCTCCAGGGCGCAGCCTCCATGGTGCAACCTCCATGGTGCAGCCTCTAGGGGTGCAGCCTCCAGGGTGCAGCCTCCAGGGTGCAGCCTCCATGGTGCAGCCTCCATGGTGCAGCCTCCAGGGTGCAGCCTCCAGAGGTGCAGCCTCCAGGGGTGCAGCCTCCAGGCGTGCAGCCTCCATGGTGCACCCTCCAGGGTGCAGCCTCCAGGGTGCAGCCTCCATGGTGCACCCTCCATGGTGCAGCCTCCAGGGTGCAGCCTCCAGGCGTGCAGCCTCCATGGTGCACCCTCCAGGGTGCAGCCTCCAGGGTGCAGCCTCCAGGGTGCAGCCTCCAGGGTGCAGCCTCCAGGGTGCACCTCCATGGTGCACCCTCCATGGTGCAGCCTCCAGGGTGCAGCCTCCAGAGGTGCAGCCTCCAGGGGTGCAGCCTCCAGGCGTGCAGCCTCCATGGTGCACCCTCCAGGGTGCAGCCCCAGGGTGCAGCCTCCAGGGTGCAGCCTCCAGGGTGCGGCCTCCAGAGGTGCAGCTTCCAGGGTGCAGCCTCCAGGGTGCAGTCTCCAGGGTGCAGCCTCCAGGGTGCAGCCTCCAGGGTGCAGCCTCCAGGGTGCAGCCTCCAGGGTGCAGCCTCCTCAGCAACGCACATGTGTTGCTGAGCCACAGCAACCTTCCCCTGTCTCCCAATCCTCCCCATCATTCCCCCGGTCCCGTCCCCTCATCCTCCCAGCCATTTCTCACTCGCCCGGTCCCTCTTCCTCCCAAGCATTTCTCTCACTCACCCGTCCCCTCGTCCACCCACAATTCCCCACTCTCCCATCCCTTCGTCCTCCCCAATATTCCTCCCTTCCCCCGTCCCTTTGTCCTCCCCACCATCCCCCACTCCACCGTTCGCTCGTCCTCCTAACCGTTCCCCCCTCCACCGTCCCCTCCTAATCCCCACCATCTTCCTCTCCCCCATCCCCTCATCTTGCCAACTATTCCCGCCGCCCTCTCGTTCTTTCTATTAACCCACACTCCTCTGTCCCTCTTGTCCTCCCCACCATTCTCCATTTCCCTGTCCCCTCGTCCCCACCATACCCAACTGCCCCGTCCCCTCGTCCTCCCCACTATTACTCCCTTGTCCCCTCGTCCTCCCGACCATCCCACACTCCCGTCCCCTCTTCCTCCCCAACATTCCCCACTCACTCGTTCCATGTATTCCCAAACGATCTGATACTCCCTTCAGGAAATTGGGAACATCAAATGATCTGATGTTCCCATCACTGAAATATAACAAAAACAGTTAAAAAACGAAATAAAACAACGAAAAAATACAAAAATAAACTATACTCAGGAAATGAACGGTATGGTTCAATTTCAACTCAATGTCACACAAAATAATTAAATCAAAATTAAAATAAATCGAAATTTATGAAAATTCAATTCATCAATACAGTCGGAAACATTGAAATGGAATCGTAACATATTTAGTATAGCGTGAGTTGCTATTATGTGCAACACATGGCGCTTTTTTTCAAAAAAGCATGATTTTACCTGTCACTGGGGTGGCATCTATATAGTCGGTATATTTAATTGCACGCATGTATTCGAATGGAACGTTGTGTTAAAATTTCAAATCGATGAATAACGTTGGGAGATTACAGCGTGTGTTGCTCTTACGTCCAACAGATGGCGCTGTTTTAAAAAAAAAGCGTGTTTTTTTTCCCGTCACAGGTGTGGCATGCATATAGTAGGTATATAAAAACACGCACATGTTCGAATGCAACATTGTGTCATAATTTCAAATTAATCGGTAAAGAGGTTTCGAAGATTTCCCTCCCATGAAAAACACATGAAAAACAGTTTAAAAAAAAATGTTTTTTTTTCCGTCACAGACGTGACATCTATATAATAAGTATATATAAACCTGGCCGGATGCGAATGGAACGTTGTGTGAAAATTTCAAAGCAATCAGTAGATAACTTTCGGATATTAGCGATTTTGAACAAACGAACATTTCCATTTTTATTTATATAGATATATTATGTCTTTCCTGAATTCTCTTTATTTTCTTCCCCGAGGCTATAGCTTCCTAATAACAAAACAATTAACAAATAGTAGCAATGAACGAAATAGTTTAATAGTGGCCACCGGTGATAAGACCTAATTTACCCTCGAGCAGAGTTCCTTGTGAATTGTAGACCTGGACAATCTCTACTGGAAGTGATATGCTATCAAAGAGTCCAGTCAGTTATCGTCTTGGGAGGTGAGAAGACAACGGAAGGAATATAAAGTGTTAGGATGAGACCGGTCTCCTTGCTAATTACTTGTTAAGTGTGTGTGGGTAATTGTATGAGCGATAAGAAGCCTTTTTTTTTTTATTTAATTTAATATCTCAATTCTCTAATGATTTGTAAAGTATCTGGAGAATATGTAAGATTTTATGTATTTGCTTGTGTGCATGAATGTGTATGAGTGTCAAAGTCAAGTGTTAACTATGAGAGTTTAAGTAAATTCCTAAGTGTAATACGATCAGGGCAAAAGTTAACAACTAGTTATCTTCAGGAATTTAAGAATGAGTTTTACAGTTTCATGCAGAATAGTGAACTAAATCATGTGTGTGTGTATTTAGTTTGTTTGTAAACATGTATTTATTATACCGAGTTATATGCTTGCAAACAACAGTGATATATGATCGTTTTAAGAGAAGTTCGTTTATATGATCGTTTTAAGAAGGTGAGAAGTCCGAGCTATAATTTGTATAATTTGTAATACCGGACTGATGAAAGGGTTGGACTCAAGTTTAATAATGGACTCAATTCCTAAGAGGTCAGATGAGAGGTCCCATCACCAAGGGTGGTAATACCTGTGTTGGTGATGCTACTACAAGAAAAATCCGTTTCTTCCTCCGGCTGTAAAACTTGGAACACTATGGAGACATAGGCGGCGTGTCTGGACCTAAATGAACCATGTGGTCTCCTGGATGGACATAAAGACTTGTAGTCTTCTGGATGGACATAAAGACTTGTAGTCTTCTGGATGGACATAAAGACTTGTAGTCTTCTGGATGGACATAAAGACTTGTAGTCTTCTGGATGGACATAAAGACTTATGGTCTTCTAGATGGACATAAAGACTTGTGGTCTTCTAGATGGACATAAAGACTTGTGGTCTTCTGGATGGACATAAAGACTTGAGGTCTTCTAGATGGACATAAGGAATTGTGGTCTTCTAGATGGACATAAAGACTTGTGGTCTTCTGGATGGACATAAAGACTTGAGGTCTTCTAGATGGACATAAAGACTTGTGGTCTTCTGGATGGACATAAAGACTTGTGGTCTTCTGGATGGACATAAAGACTTGTGGTCTTCTGGATGGACATAAAGACTTGTAGTCTTCTAGATGGACATAAAGACTTGTGGTCTTCTGGATGGACATAAAGACTTGAGGTCTTCTGGATGGACATAAAGACTTGAGGTCTTCTAGATGGACATAAGGAATTGTGGTCTTCTAGATGGACATAAGGAATTGTGGTCTTCTAGATGGACATAAAGACTTGTGGTCTTCTAGATGGACATAAGGAATTGTGGTCTTCTGGATGGACCTAAAGACTTGAGGTCTTCTAGATGGACATAAAGACTTGAGGTCTTCTAGATGGACATAAAGACTTGTGGTCTTCTAGATGGACATAAAGACTTGAGGTCTTCTAGATGGACATAAAGACTTGAGGTCTTCTGGATGGACATAAAGACTTGAGGTCTTCTGGATGGACATAAAGACTTGAGGTCTTCTGGATGGACCTAAGGACTTCTTTATGTATTGATCTAAGTTCAGGGAAGAAACTACAGCATGGCAGAAACTTTGTCACTTTTTCTATTCAGTAGACAATAGACCACACATTGGAACGTTGCATTGAGATTGGGGAAGGAATTTTGCCCGCAGAAGCAAACACTGATGTTTGTTTCTGTTACTTGTTAATTGCCGTCTGGTAGGATAATAGATATTGTTCTCGCCTGTAGCCTCATTCGGCTTTCCACTCGACGAAATTATTGATATCTTTGCCAAGGATGGCATCCTGGACATGCAGATCGGTTAATTAATCAGCAGCATCCCTTTAAATCTTTTTTAATCGAAATTTGATTAAACTACTTGGTGGGCATCAGTGTATGGAGTACTACCCGTGGTTTCTCTTTGACAGTGGATAATGCAATTTTACCCCCTTTCAAGAAATTTTACTCATCCTACCCTTGTGGGATATTTGGGGCTTGAATCTGATTATTTAAATATTAATGTAGTAAATTAAATTACGAAGGACCACCCGCTTTTATAGTAAAGAGGGAAACTGAGAATTTCTGATCATTAGATAATTCCTAGATGAAACCAGTAACTATGGATAAAATACTAGAGAATATGATCATAGAAATAATTAATGGGCTGTATAATTAAATGAATCAAACCCTCAAACACCTACATTGGGGGGTTATTACTGGAGGTAAGTACGTCCAGGAATTAGTGTGGTTCGTTCACTAATTCAATTAATAATAATCTAATCCTATAAAAATTATATTGAAACTGATATCATTACCATAAATGGGAACATAGATTATAAGTATAGTAATGAGAGTTACAGTAAACACACATTAATCCTGAGGAATTCTGCACATAAAGAATTGCAATAGATTCATGAAAGAATATAAAATCTTAGCTTAATGATGATTCCTTTAGACAAGCCATGGAGTTTCCTCTTATTCTCTGGACTCGGTTGGCTGACGAATGGGACGGATTAACATGGGAGAAGGCGGCAGGAAGAATTCTTCTCACGTGCTGCAAGACAAATATTTACAGTAGCAACTAATTTAACTACTGAATCTCTATATTCAAGAAATTGAGAGTTACAGGTGACAAAATTTAATCACCTGTTATTAGATGTTATCGTGCGTCATAACGGTCAATCACCCAGCTACTACAAAACTCTTTACTAGATGCATCACATAAAGGGAATATACTTAGCTGAAAGGGCACTGTATAAGTTTTAAGATTGCCGTAATTCGCGTCCCCAGGCTCCGGCTAAGCCTATCCTGGATAGTGGCGCGCTTCGCTGGCTGGTCACGTGTCGTCAAGAACCAGGTTAAAAGGTTCCTTATCTGACACCAGCACTAGCTGAAGATATTATCTGCAAGGTTATTCACGCCTCACAGTGGCGACTTTCATCTGAGGATGGATAACGTCTGCCCAAATGGCTGGACAATGGCGTCTCCTTGTGAGTACGGTATGCGCAGGTCTGCCTCTGAGCGGCTCTCCACGTGTACTGAGTTGGTCCTCCTCAACCCACGCCGCGTCGCGCGTTCATAAAACAAATTATGTCACGAACATTAATATTTCTCGCATTTACGCTTGAAACGTTGAAGACTGGACGGGTTTATTATTTAGAGGAAGAAATTATTATTATTTACCAATTTAAGAATAGTAAATATATAAGGGAGAGGAATTAATGTCTCCCCATGGCATTCACTGGTGACTTTAACTTTTATTACGAGATAATCGCTATGACTCCAACGCTCTATTCGGCTTTTAGTTGGAGGTCAATTCATCTGCAATTAGTTATCATACAGAATGCCTTAGTTATAGAGAATCGAATTTAATTCTCACATACATTGGATATAATGTGTTTATTGTAAGGAAATCTGACGCAATACTGGCGTCGGGTGACGTGAGAATTCTAGCCTACTGCACAGATGAAATTATTAGTACATGAGAATTCTACGTGTTGTTAATTTTACTTACTACAATAATTAATAGAGTTAGTAATAAGTAATGAGAATACAACAGTGTTGTATTCGGTGTTGGAAATATCCAACATAACTCCGGGGGGAGGATTCTAGGGTCGTAGTGTACTGTGGTGTACTGACCTATCCCGAAGTGATATTAAGATTAGTACATTAGTATGTTAATATGTTAGTATGTTAGTACACACATAACGAACGTCCCGGATTTATCAAGGACTTACAAGAACTTGAGTCTTGCTATTTACATGTCAAATGAAACATGTTGCTTGTAGCCTACACAATATTTATAGAATTGCTCTTAGTTGAGAACTATAATAGGCTTGTAGTTTCCCTTAGTGGAAACATGGATTAAATATTGAAACGTTAAATGATTAAGTTATCGGTAATCAGGAACTCTCTAAAGTTCACAATAAACTCAACAACTAGGGTCGCAGTGACATGTAATGGTGTATTACGTAGCTGCTGAATCGTAGGCAAACTCAGAATAAGTTCCTAAGAACTGATAACACTATTGTATGATTATACAGTAAAGTATTATTAGTCATTTAAGATCAAGGAAACTATGACACTACAGTAAGGTCACTGTCTTGGGTCGCTGTGACTTGTAACTATTGAGTTACTAGACAATAACATCACGCAGCATCACGATCACCCCAAATTCAAATGAGGAAATTGAATTTAATGTGCACTGCCGTGCAGTAGTCATGCTGACTGATGGTACAACTAATTTGCTAACTAGCTAAAATAATAGAAAAGTAGAGAACTGAAAAGTTTATTCATTAAAATCAAGGAAAATTCTGAGTCGACAGTGAGATTAGTAGCCTAGTCATTCTGACTTATGAGCTAATTGAATGGCAGCTCATAGGCTTGACACTGTAAACTGGTTAATACGAAATCACCTTTACATGAATTTGAGTTTATTAAATCAGTCTCTATAAGTATAGTCAACTGTAAGTAATGGTGAGTACAGATTAGGCTAGTACTCAGTTGACACTACTAAAGTCCCTAAACCTACCTAAATAAATGGTTTGAATTTCTAACCTACTTAAGTAAGGGACTAAGCTAATTATGAGCAAAAATGTACTCGAATTAACATTGTGAGCAGTATTGAGCTCATTAACAGATCGAGCTATATTGAACTCGTGAACATGGTGAGTTACAGTGAACTCGTTAGCAGTGCTAACAGGGTGAGTTACATTGAACTCGTCAACAGTGTTGACAGGGTGAGCTGTTACAGTGAGTTGCAGTGAACGTCAACAGTGATGACAGGGTGAGCTACAGTGAGCTCGTTAGCAGTGCTAACAGAGTGAGTTACAGTGAACTCGTCAACAGTGTTGACAGGGTGAGCTGCAATGAGCTCGTTAATAGTGTTAACAGGGTGAGTTACAGTGAACTCGTCAACAGTGTTGACAAAGTGAGCTCGTTAGCTGTGCTAACAGGGTGAGTTACAGTGAACTCGTCAACAGTGTTGACAGGGTGAGCTGCAGTGAGCTCGTTAGCTGTGCTAACAGGGTGAGTTACAGTGAACTCGTCAACAGTGTTGACAGGGTGAGCTGCAGTGAGCTCGTTAACAGTTAACAGGGTGAGTTCAGTGAACTCGAATTAACGAGGTGGAGTTTTGCATCATTCAATTTATCATGACGAGCAGTGCTCGTGGCATGGGGAACATTAAAGTGTTCGATTGTCATGGCGAGCAATATTAAGCTCGTACGCATGGGGAACAAGCACTCATATTATTACGTTAATTCTAAGGTGAGCTATATTAAGCTCATGAAGCATGTTAATTAACAATGCTAATGTTTAACGATAATGCATTAAACATATTAGTTCTCTGTAAATTCGCTTACGTATTAGTAAGTTTGCAAGTTTGTTCGTGCTGCGCTCCTACACTAAATAAGCAGAAACGAAAGAAAAAAACAACTCAAACAATTGATGCAAGTATTTATCACTAACTCTTAGTGCAGAAAACATGGTATTAAGAAGGTTTTCTTGGCAAACCTTTAAGCGCAAGTATAGTGGACCAGTGGTCCTAGTGAATTTGTAATTAAATTCAGGAAATGCCAGTGGCATTAAGTGCTAGATTCTCTAGCCTAACATTATTAATTACCTAGGGAGTACTAGATTCTCTAGC